TCCACAGTCACAAGATCTCAATCCGATGGAGCGTCTTTGGGATGTGGTGGAATGGGAGATTCACATCATGGATGTGCAGCCGACAAATCTGCGGCAACTGTGTGATGCCATCATGTCAATATGGACCAAACTCCCTGAGGAATGCTTCCAGCACCTTGTTGAATCTATGCCACGAAGAATTGAGGCAGTTCTGAAGGCAAAAGGGGGTCCAATCCGCTACTAGCATGGGGTACCTAATAAAGTGGCCGGTGAGTGTATATTTCTATATATATCTATCTATATATATATAGATAGATATATATATCTATATCTCTCTCTCTATATATATATATATATAGAGAGAGAGATATAGATATGAAATGATTAAGCTATGGAAGCAATAATTCCAGAGTATATTAAAATTTTTCACTGTGGCATTCACTTCTTTAGATACTGTAAGTAGTAAGAGACAGGTTTTATATTTGGCTAGCATTTATTTTGAAACATCGAAACTTTAATTTATTTTATATATAAAATTGCTCTGTTGGAACTTTAAAGTCATTATAGGCATAACCCCTACTGCTATAACTGTCTTAATATAACATAAAAAATACATTATTTGTCTGTGGGTCAAACATGGAGTCCTCTGTTTTCTTGTACAGAAAACCACCCAATGCTTAGAGGGCTCCATGTGTTGGACCAACAGGTTTCACATGGTTAAGGACGAACAAAGAGACTGAAGTCAGCTGCAGAGCTGTGGAACAAACACTCACCCTTCTCACCATTCAGTACCAGTTCTTGCTCTGTTGTAGGTCGAGCCCTGAATGCGGGCTGGGACAGAGTGTCAGGGCTTGAACCTGAGAGAGCCAGAGAGGGTGGGGGAGGAAAAATGGGCCCCAAAGGAGCAAAAAGAAGGCTCAGAGGGTGAGAGTGACCAGGTAGGTTACACTTAAGGAAGAAAAATGGCTCAAGGAAAGTGAAATGAGAAAACAGCAAGAAAGAACATTTTGGCAGCGTTGATGCTTGAAAGTCTATACACCCTTAATAATTTCCTTTATAAGCATAATTAAGACCAAAATTATCTTACCAGACATAAATAAAGACACCCTATCAGAAAAAAAAATTGCAGTGTCAGCCTCTTGGTTAGGCATCTAAGTTGAAATTAGAGGCATTTCTTATAACTCTTGGTATTATGGGTCAAATAAAGCATATTTCTGATCAAATACCCAAGAAATTTCATATAATTATAAAAGTCTGGCCATTCCCCTTATTATGAAAAAATGACATGAAAAGAAAAAACAGTTCTCTTCAGCTGCTATTAGTTGCTAAATGTTTAAAAAAGGCAAGTTGGCTGAGTGAAATGGTTTAAAGATGTTGGGACTAATTACAAATTAGCGGTTAAGTAAGGGATGTCATATTTGTTTTAAGATATATGATAGCTGCATGGTCAATAATTAAATATGTAATTGTCATTGTTTGGGCCTGTTTCATTACAAATAGGTATGGGCGGTTCTAATGGGCCCTCCAGAACTGGTCCTGGCTCCTATAATGTATAGGGATATATGCTGTCATAGGAACAATAACTGATTGGTCCCTTTGGAGTAGTTTAAGGCATTTACAGTGTTTCTTTAACAAAGATTTTAGAACTAAGAGGTTGCATTTTTAGCTTCAGTCGCACTTAAAAAGGGTTTAGTTTTCATCTGTTGGTCACAGCTTTCCAACTTGCAGTTCTATTCCCACAAGTGGTTATTTGGCTCACTAAATGTATTAAGTGATGAACAATTACCCTTTTTGTTTGTCTATTTAATATATTTGTTTTGTGCCGCAATGAAGAAACACTGGATCCATCCTGACCTCCTTATTGATTTAGTCCAGAAACACCACTGCATCTGGGTCATAATTCTTTCTTGTTGTAATTTGTTACAACAATGTATAGCTTGAAACAGATCTATACATTTTATTTGTTGCACTGGGCAAGTTAAAAATCTGGTTAATTCTATGACAGGAGAACCAAAGAGGAAAAAAGGTGTTCTGTTCCCAATGTGGGCTGTAATTCTTCCAAGCAAAAAAAAATAACTGCAAACATTTATTTCTCTATGTTTCTGCACGTGTGCATCACACGTACACCAAAAGCAAAGCTTCATATAGCCATTAGGGAAAAAAAACAAAACATATGTATCGTTTCTGTCCCCTTTCTTTGGTTTAATGTCCTCTCTTTGTCTACTCTTCTTTGACTTTTTTGGAAAATGTCGTTTAAAAATCACAAACATGCCAAAATAAAAGAAAATTCTAAGAGTTTATAAACTTTCAAGTCCTGCTGCATAACCTTCATACACATGACCCATTAATTTCCCCAACCACCACAAAAAGAGTTATCCCACCAATCTGACACAAACAACAGATGAAAGGATTCTCCAACTTTTCTCAAGACTGATTAACACAAAGTCTTGCAGAAAATGGGTGTAATCCTTTAAAGACTCAAGGCACAACTATAATGACTTATGTCATTTAAGTTTGACTTTCAAAGTCATCAGTAAACCGATGACTTGAATTTATGTTAAGAGTGTTAATCATTAAACAAAATATTCTTCTTTTTTTTCCTTCAAAATTACTTATTATTCAAACATGGGGAAAAACTGACTTTGGCTAATTTCTCTGCACATTCATTAGCAGCCTGCAACAGCATCACTTATCTCATGCTGATTCATGACACTACTGTTGTCCTGCATTAATTAACAACTTACATAACAAACACATAAGCTTCAATGTGGGTACAGGCGATCATTTGGGAGGTTTTCACTAATTTGCATTTTATCTGTTTACTTCAACACATGCAGAAGTTTAATTTTATGCAAATAATTAACACATGGGGTATTAAATTAGGCCAAATGACATCAACATGGGTCTTAAAGAACTGTCTGAAGAGTAACGTGGTTTAAAGAAATATGCAACATACACTGTAGCATACACAAGTAAAAAACTAAAACAGACTCCATTATATAAAATAAGTTTATACATTGCTTGCATTAACTCATTTCTGCTTATGTATTTACCCCTAAGAATTTAGGTTTTAGCTATTTTCATATTTTATTTTCATCCAAAACATGTTTCACCTGAGTAAAAGCAAAAATCTGTTTTCATATGGTCCTTTCATCTATTAAGTTAAAAAGTATGAAAGCATGATACAGACAAAACCATCTCAAAAGACAATATATAATGTGCTGATGTAAAAACAAGACGCAAAAAAGAGAAGAAAACAAAAGATGAGATGAAAAATCTTTGAGATGATTCAGACATTTGGCTTTACGACACCTGTAAACCATGGTATAAACAAGCAAAGAAAACATGGAACAGTACAGAACCCTCCAAGGATGGGCTGTTGTGTTGCTGGACTAATTTGTCTAAGTTAATGTCAATGTTCCATTTATGATTAAACAATACGAGGGCAAGAGTGGCATCCATAGGAGACTTACCGGTATAAGTCAAAAAACACTGTTGACCAACACATATTTAAAATACCTGACTACCATTTCATTATTACCCATGTTTTAGGAAAATATTTTATGTTTTCTGACAAAACAGTGGAGAACTTTTAGGAAGGTGTGTCTCCTAGTACATCTTGTGAATAAATTAACACAGTATTAAAGAAAAAAACAAAACAATGTCTAACCTCAGCCAAATACAATGGTGGTAGTGCAAAGGTCATGGGCTGCTTCAGCACTTGTAAAAGTCTGACACAACTGACAGACCAGGAGTGGCCCATGCCTTAAGGAAGAAGTCCAGCTACTGTTTTCTGACCTTAAGCACGAGCACATTCTGCCAGATTGTTGATCCAAAGCACAGCCCTAAGTCCACATTGGAATGCCTCCATAAATCAGGCTTTAGCAGAGAATCAGAGTCAAGATAGAAATTGTGCTGAGAACCTTCAAATACAGCTAAATTAAACCAACCCAAAAAAGGAGAAAATAATGAATTATTGCTTCACATATATATCAAAAGGAATGATAAATGTCTGTTACTGCAAACATGGTAGTTGTTACTGCTAAGGGTGGTGCTTCTGTGTATTTGGCACTGAGCAATTACATTTCTACATCAGGGTTGATAGTTTTGAATAGCTTTTTAACCTCGATAAAATAATCATTTGAAAACTGTATTTTGCTTTTACTCTGGAAATATTTCTCAGAAACAGAAATCTGTTTGATGATCCAAACCACGTATGTGTGACAAATAAGAAGACAAATCATAAGAAATCTACAAGGGGCAAATACTTTTTCACAGCAGTGTAGCAAAATCAGAGCCTTTTCTGTCTCACTTTCTGCAGTTGGATGGCTCACTCACCTCCACATGCTGCGGGGATCAGTCAAACAGACCCACGGATTTCAGAAAGAGAGGAAATAGCACAGATTAGTTTTAAGCAGTGCAGCATTGCTGCAGTTTTTCTATTTCTTCTGACTAATGGATTAAAAATAACTAGGTAAACCTGGCGACTTAATCTGTAATGAAGATGAAGTTCAGCTTAAGGACAACATTGTTTTAAATTTGCAATGTAAGCTGAAAGACTCACCACAGTGCTGTTTCATTTCAGTGCGAACATACTCTCTGATCTCATCTTCCTGGAATTAAAACAAAGAGCAGACAGTGTCTGCATATCATGGCCTGTCATCACACAGAACCCAGTGGTAATGTTGCCACACTGACCGTCATGCCTGGCTCTCCTCTGTCTCCCTTGGCTCCATCTGGTCCCATGTCTCCCTGAAATGTGGACAGGTATTAGGACATGCAGGATCCATAGAGAGGCTCGGAGTGAAATGATTCCTTAGACCATAGTAAGATACCCCAATGGAGAAAAACAACACCAAAAAAGGAAGGTTAAATAAGTAAGAGTGACTTATAGTGAAACTGTTTACACATTCCCGTACAAATATTAAATGAGCTGCGCTTAAGCTCATCAAGAGCAGAAGAAATGCAGAACAGCTTCAAAGTCATTTAATATAAGTTAAAACATTATGCTTTTCAATAAATAAATAAATAAATAAATAAACTTTAACAGGAATGTCCTGATTTTAGCAGGGTGCTGTTAATGCAGAGTATAAACAAGACAGAGGGATAAAATACTAACCTGCTCTCCTCTCTCTCCTGGGATTCCTGGGATACCCCGAGGACCCACCATTGCAGGACCAATAGGACCTCTCTCCCCCTGATACAAGGTAAAAAGAAGAAAAAAGCACTTAAAAGATGAGATAAATAAACAAATAACATAAACATTCTTGTAGTATTGATGAGCTGAATAGGAACAAATAGAGCAGTATATACATCTTAGTAGCTGGGCTGTTAGGCAGTACCCACCATGGTTGTCCAAGAAAACTTGTACACAGGGTCATACACCATCAAAGCACAATAAAGCCAATAAATACTGGCCTGAGTTATCAGAGGTAGTTCCAATATATATGCGTCAGAACAACAACCTACATCACAAAGAGCTTTTTATTGGACCACATAGCTGCAGACTGCTCTGGGTTCTTTCTGCTGATTTATCTAAAGCAAAATTACCTACGATAGAGGAGAAAGCAATCAATCAGTGGAAAAACTTGCCTTGGGGAGAGTTTTTCCCTCATCGTTTAGACATTGTGGGCTTTGTGAGACACTTATAGTTGATTGCAGGAGTGCTCAAAGCAATCCTTTGTCAGAAGAACCAGAACTTGATGAAATTAATTGGAAATTTATGTGATAGATAAATATAAGGTTTGGGAGAAACTGAGAATTTGAATGTGATTTCTTTTTTTTTTTTTTTAAGTATTTAAAAAGAGTGGCAGACTTATTTAGGTATTTTTTCCCCTAATACTTTAAAACAAAATCCAGTGCCAAAAGGTACCTTTTCAGAAGACAGCTTATTACTTATGAGAGTCCACCTCTGTGTAATTCAATGCCAAGCAACAGGCTCACTCCCAAAAGACAGAATTCCAAGTCATAAAGTCGGTGCAACAGGACTGTACTACACTTCTGCATTTAAGATGTCCAATGTCCATGTTTCATCTTAATATGTTCACTGGGGTAGAGGTGAAAGTTTTGCCCCACATTACTGCTCTCCTCTCAAAGCTTCTGCAAACCTTCCCACAACTCACTCCTCAGAGGTGTGCCTTGGCCCACCATGATGCCTTGAGGACAAAAGCAGCTGTCTCTACTTTCTCTTTCCGTAAAGCTGCATTCAAATTCGAAGACGAAGCCATCATGGAAAGTCCACTAAGGGTTTAAACACTGATATAACATTAATCGTTATGTGTTTTCTCATATGCTCAATAAATTTTGATTACCAAATTGTGTCCAAAAGTAATTTAAAGGAAATAATGATGTCTGCTAATGCTAGCTCATTTAAAAAGGGTAAAGAATCAATTAACTTAAGGTCATTTGTCTAATTAAGCAAATAATTCAATAAAACATTATTTGGCCAAAAAATGTATTATTCACCTCATGAATTTGCATTGTGAATTGGTTTGAAAAAATTCAAGTTGCTCTGAATTAGCTAAAAACTAATTTGATCACATTCCAAATTCTTTAATATAAAATTTGGTTCTTAACACAAAATCCATGCTAAACTGTGATATCATTATATCATCTCAATAATTATGGTTTTCAACCAAGTTTTTCCTTTTTCCTTGTACATACAGTAGTAACTTGGTTTATTTGAGATTCGCTAGTTTTTGGTCAAGAGCTTTAACTGAAATATTTTTTACTTCCGGGTAAAGGATATTTTTTTAATAAACTCTTATCTTTTGAATTGAAGTTGTGAATGTATTCCTTACTGTATATGGGCAGAATTGTCTGTTTGACCATGAAATGAGCTTGATTCACACTTTTGTTTGCGTTTTTTTTTTTTTTATGGAGAGAGGAAAGTTAGCATTTGCCATATGATGTCATATTCAAGAGAATTTTTCAACAATAAACTTCATTACCTAATTTTGTTGCATCTGCAATGCAGGAGATTGAAGAGGAGACCATCGCGGCATCACTTCAACTTCCTTCCTGCACTAACATGTTGGTGAGCTGCACAGCATTGGTAAGCACACCCTCACTGCACCGTGGCTGATGTGAGTGTACAGTTTCATTTAAATGATTCGGGTTATTGCCGCGACCACACGAAAGCTGCACAACAGCCACAGTATACTGTATCACATTCAGTTCGAGTCCACGCCATTAAACCATCGTTTAGTGGACTGCTCTGGCACCAGCTGCACTTTATGTAAATAATACATGTTACTGTACATTACATGTTACTGTATTTCTCACTGTGATATTTTATATTTCATCAAATATTACCAATTTCTTTCTGTTTCTTTTTCAAATTTTCTCTGAAGGTGTTACTGTACATATATTTTAAGATTTTGCGTTTTTCTTTCAAGGGTTTCATTTAAGGATGCTTCTTATCTATTCGTTCTAGTAGTGTTGCTGAATGTGCTGTTAGGCAGATGTCAGGACAAAATTTTACTTGGTTTCATAATAATAATGAATATTCTTGAGTCTTGACTTGATTCTTGATAAACATAAGCTGAAGGAATGGGTCACTTTCAGGAACTCCTGTGGGACAGTGAAACAATCCGGTTATGTAACGTAAGTAAAGAGGAAGAGGCTAAATGTGAAATCAGCTCAATGACAGACAATGAAGAAGAATTACAGTGTTGTCAGTGGATGCTAGAGCACACGTGGAAAGGTGACTAACTTTCTGCTGGGTCCTTTGGGACGGATTATGACAGAGATGGTATGCCAGGCCTTTCCGCCAGCATCAGTGTCTGACCTGGCACATTTATTTTTCAATTTTTGTCAAAAATGTCCTTAAGAAAACTGAATCTGATGGAAAGCCTGACCCAAAAGTTGAAGCTGTTATAGCTCAGAAGGGTGAGTCTGCATCAAATTAAACCCAATAGAGTAAGAATAGGATGCCAGTGAACTTAAATGTTTGTAAAAGGAGGAAATCAAATACTTTACTCCCGTGGGATATCTCTAATGTGATACTCATAAATACAGAATCTTCATAACACAGACTGTTAGAGGACAGACAGACAGACAGACAGACAGACAGACAGACAGACAGACAGACAGACAGACAGACAGACAGACAGACAGACAGAGAGACAGACAGACAGACAGACAGACAGACAGACAGACAGATAGATAGATAGATAGATAGATAGATAGATAGATAGATAGATAGATAGA